GCTGCACAGCATCAGACTATCCAGCACACGGTTGTCAGCCCGCTGTTGAAGTCACGGAATGAAGTCCTTCATCTGATCGAAATTTTAGCAAAAAAACAGTATTCTGACGTTGCCGACCTCATTATCCCTTTAAGTTTACAATCTCCTCTTTGCTGTTTTAAAACAGCTAATCCACTTTGCCTTCTCTTATTATACCATTTCTTAATCATAGGTTATCCCTTTTTTTAGGTCGGTGAAATACTTGTTCATTGTCTGGATACATCCTTGCTAAAACATAAATCGTTAGCTGAAATATTCCCTCCAATAACGGGGTGAGATATTTGTGAGTCTATCATTATTTCGCAGTCATTGGATGACTGTCGGGCTGATTTAGAAAACTCTTTGCTTACTTTTCACACTTCAGGTTTTATATGGTTGCATACTGTGCAAGCACTAGACGAATTGCTTTCGGGGGAAGAAATGGTACTGTCGTTGTTCACGAGTTAAGAGCTTCCAAAGCACAAGTATGTTGTTACTTAGTTTCTGAGTCATGATATTAAGTACTTTTCCCTAAAGTTACTCGTCTGCTTAATTTTAGACACTGCAAGCGCATCAAGATGCAGTAACTTCGCTTTCCTTTTCCGATGATGGAAAGTATTTGGCTACATATTCAGCTCAAGAAGCAAAACTTTCATTCTGGCAGACAACGCAGACATTTCTGGTAAGTGTTGAATATTCTCTTCTGGGGATGTTCTTCTTTAAATTGTCTTTTAGTACTATATTTATCTTCTCTCGGACAGGCGATAATGAGATAATCATCATATTATATTTATTCTTAGGGGATGGGGCAGAGCCAAATGAAATGTGTTCGTACTCATCCAGCTCCGGCAGCATTCCCTGTTATTTCTCCCAATGGCACATCGCAACCGTTTAAAGCTCGACTGGTCTGGATAAGTGGGAAGTCGTTAACACTGATGCTTCCAAATGGTAAAGAGAGTAGGTTTAGCCTCTAAAAATTTTTTTCAAACAGACTGTTTCAAATTCAAATGTGCTTTCTTTAGTCTTAGCTTTACTGTCTAAAGTCTTCTCCCTCAGGTTTCTTGAGTGTGTAATTCGGTGGAGTACTTTGTTCTTGTATGTATCATTAGTCTCCTTAGACCTTCTGTAAGATTTCCGCTTGTATAGCTTTTAGAGAAGAGTGAATACTGTAGTATTTGTTTCTTCCATCTTTACGTCTTCTTTGAATAAGTTGTAAATGACCTTATAGTGCTAACAAGGAGTTGTGAGGCTGTACAGAAATTGTGTGTCAAATGTTCTCATACTGTTATTTCCTTATTCATGCTGCAGAAGGCCAACTTGCATGGCCTGCTTCTAGTCGAATTGCCTCGTTGTCTTTTATTTATTCAAGTCCTCACTGTACATTTCTTGTAATTTAATAGTTTGTTAAGATATCTTTGATACTTATAACTAGCCGTTAGTCAGCCTGGTTCCTCTGCCTTGAAGGTTACCTTTGCATTTGCCCTCAGTTAACGGCTTTGACGCCCTTCTTGAATTTAAGATAAGTCAGGACAGAGCCTACTTTTCTTCAAAACCGCCCGACCAGGAAATGCTGAACTACCTGTTAACAGTAATACGAGAACGTTGCCTAGGGTTTTAATAGTACAAAGCACAGCAGTCTTTAAGGCCTTGGACACGTATTTATGCTAAATAAATCTTGAGTTTTATAGAGCTGTATGACATTTGCAATAAATATCAGTTTATTGAGGGACAGACGGCAAAAATCTGACATAGTGATATTGAAAAAACTTCCATTAGTGAACAGCAAATGTACAAACACTAGTGAAGACATCGATGCTACCACTGATGTGCACTATGTGCATTTTTGTAACGGCTGAGATTTTAGTTGGGTGTAGCATCTATATTGCTAGGGGACCTAGCGAAAAAAAAATAAAAAAAAAATTTTATTACTCTCAAACCGGTTTCAGCCGGAGTTATTATTCTTTGTCCCTATTCCTCCTCACCCATTGCGACGTAGGAACCCGACACTTTAGCTGCAGTAATTTCCGTGTCCAAACGAGACAACAACCATCTTCCCATGGCCCATTTAGCTCTCCTAACAGGAAGGACTTAAGGTAATCTTAGAAACATTACTGTCGCTATTACCACGTGCTCAACTTGTCAACACTAAGGCGCTATCAGAGGGAGTCAGCAACAGCACTCTGGCCGAGAAACTGTTAGCACCCATAATATCTTAGGTGGGCTTAGGTGGTTATTGAAGCCATAACAACGAATTGCTTGTTAACAAAAAGTGACTGCGTAAAAATGTCACGATAACAGAGAGAGGATAAACAAATGTCTAAATCATCGAATGATAATATTAAAAAAAAAAAAGGCCAGAAACGCAATAGCTATCAACAACAAATGCAATCAATTTCAAAACTCTCAACTAAAATTCCGAGTCCAATTTAAAATAGACCTCACAACCAAAAAAAAATTAAATGTAATGACATCAAACTAAGCAAGTGATGCTGCATCAAATCACTAAATGAGATAACTAAATAACACAGTAAAAGCCAACAGTTGTGTAAACCAAGCAGGAATTACCCTAAAAACTGCAATATATCACAGACGGCTTACGGAAATGATTAAAAATTAATTACAATTAAATTGCTGACGGAACTATTATTTACAGGCAATATGTTTCAATTGCGACGTCTCAGACGGCACTACGGATAATCTCGTCTTCACTATCACTGCTCTCCTGTAGTAACTTGTACCTCTCCTGCTGTAAGCCAAACTGAGAGAAATTTATACCATTTCCAAGTCTAAAAAGAAGGGGCCAGGTGAGAAAAGAGGAGGGCGTTTATACCGTTATTTAAGACCTCAGAAACCAACACTGCTTACATGGTACATAACCTCAAATAAATGGGGTACCCCGTAGTAAAATCATACCAGGACTTTGTCGTACTATGAAAAATATGCAAGAAAAAGTTTTTGCTAATTTCTTCTGTTTCATTGTGACAAGAAAAAAAACTAATTACCAAACGCACGTTTTTACGAAAGCAAAGTGCTAATGAACAGCAGCATCAGTGAGCCTAAAATTTTTATTCACAAAAAGAATTAAAATCTTTGTCACTCAAAAGAAAGTTCAAAAGATTTAAAAGTTCTTTTGATTATCAATGCTGCAAAACAATTTCTTACCAGACTGCCTAACATAAGGCTTCAGAGATGATTGCTGAACATCAGGACTTGAGTTTTGCGGATAATGTACGCCATCACCACAGCTAAAGGTATCTAGATGAGCGTGCAAGGCGAGTTTACAAAAAAAAGGGCTTAGAAGCACAGGGGTAATACTAGTAGCTAAAAAAAATAAATGAAGTAGGAGTCATGGGCCAGTTCCCAAACGGTGTGAACGACCGTAATATTTCAGTATTCGTCTATAGGCAAATAACACCTGGTCCTCAGGAACTGTTGCATTTTTTCGACATAACGTCAAAACCTGTGCTTAAGCAGCAGCAACAAACAATACCATGCAAAACAAGAACCAAAAACATCTAGATGAAAATTTAAAAAAGTTAGAAAATAAGTTTGAAAAATGAAAGCAAAAATAAATGTCAAGCAGAAAACTCAGTAAACAAATCCGTCAAGTTTAAGAAAAACTCTAAAATTTAAGAATAATACGGAAGAGTACTTTACCCTGCACTTACAGCAAAAAATTTATGCTAAGAGCTGAAATGTTACTAATAAATTAACCAGATAATCCAAAAGCTTACGAAGAAAACAACGGAAGGAACCATAGTAAACGAGTGTGGCCAAAAATTTCGGCAAAATTTCGACGAATACCTAAGTTATAAGCGTTTTTGTCAGCTCCATAAGTGAAAATTGGCGGTCGAAATGATTCTAAAACTCTTCTGATAAAAAATTGCAATCAAAATTTGAGTCTTAATGGCTACAAAAGCGAAAACAAATGAAGCGGGATAAACTTATATTTGAATAAAGTTTAGTTGGAAATAGAAAAACCGAAAAACCAAATCTGTCTTTCTCAAATTACGCTGTACGCAAGCAATAAAAAAAACTGACCGATAGTAGACTGGTTATGAGCAGTGAGGTAGAGGTGATAGAAAAAAAGACAAGAAAGCGAAACAGAAAACATTCCCGACACGAAGAACAAAAACAAAATATGAAACCTTCCTACACCATCGTCCGTTCGCAAACTGCTCTTAAAACGAAATAACAAAAATTAAGCACTTTGCAAGAAAGGCATGATAAACCCTGTCATACACTTTTCACTAATCTGTTACTGCCCATCAAAAGTCCCTAGGCAAGGAAAAAACTATTATGTTAACTAAACCTTCCAAAATCCGATGAAATATGGCATGTCGCTGAAGAAGCCCCAGAGGCATAACAAAAAGCCATATCCAAGGAACTGCACAAAAAACTTATAATTGCGATAATTAACGCAAGTGTTAACCCACGGACAATGATGATCAAACTTCCTGGAAGTGAGTATACAAAAATTCCATTAAAAAAAGCAAAATAAAGCTACAAGATAAAATGCAATATCACTATGCAACTAAAATGACTTTAATGTATTAACTAAAGAGATAGAATAAAAAATATTACTGAACTTTGCAAGGAGTAAAGGAAACAGATTAATTAAAACTTAAATGAAATGCCAACCCTTTCAAGAGATTTATAGTGCATAAAAAATACAGTTGCTCAAACAACAGCTCAAACTTTTTAAACAAAAAGAGAACTTAATGTATTATTGTCAATACACGCTTACAACACGCAATGTCCACAAACAGAGCAATGGTGACTCCTGTCAGGTTTTATGCAAGAACACTTGTTGCAGTATCTAATTGCTGAAAAAAATAATATTTAAAAACATTTTTTTGTTAAAAATACCAAGATTGCATAAAAGTGAGTTTAATGCTAGCCGAAATTGGCTTCTTAAAGAAAGCGCTTCACATACTTCCATCAAATGCCCGATTTGTAACCGGTATTTGATGCTGTCTCACAAATCTGTCTAAAATTGCACTGCAATCTTGATCACTTCCAGCCCCCTGCATCTCACGTTTTACTTCAGACGGCAAGTAAAACTAAAATCAAAAATAAATAATTCGGATAATATACGAAGAAGACTAACTTACGCATAATAAAAGCAGAAAAAAGTGAGAAATTCTAGGAAATATAAAAAAAAGCTACTATTTTCTGGGGCTTTCCCACTGGTGTAAATACTGTTTTGTAATATGACCATAGGAAGAACAGCAACAGCAAATGGAAGCCCGTTAGGAATATTATTCTTTCAAAGTAATGCAGAGTTGTGTCTGTAAAACAAAGAAATTAACTCTTAATGAAAAATCCGACTTTTCAGTAGAAGTACTGCAGAAATAAATTACAGTGCTCAAATCTTACGCAAACACAACTGAACTACGTAGGCGTAATAGGCCCAACACAAGACTGCAAATATGAACAGAACGGGAAGCCATCTGACAACGCTGATAACGAAACGAACAGCTGGGTTATCGACATACTTTAGCATGCTGAAATTTTCAGTAAAATCAACCCTAACTTCCAACAACACAGCAGCACCGAGGCAGCTGAGACGTAACAAAGAACTAGTTTTTAGGGATGCACCAACCCGAAATACAAGTTAACAGCTAGAAGAAAATTTTTACAAAAGTTTCAAAAATCAGCAAACAAACTGCTAAGCGAAAAAAAGCGATTCTATGATCAAAAGCTCTCACAGTTAGGTCTCCACGCTCCCACCAAATTTTTCAAAAATGGATAATGTAATTCACAACCGAGATTAAATGAAGCAATTGTTAGACATTTCTTCTACTTCATGTTAAAAATCTGTTATAATTTATTAAACAAAGTAAATTCAAAAAAGAAGGAAACCAACGTCCACAAAAAAAAAACCAATAAAATAAAAGGAAGTCGAATGCTCAGAAAATCTCCAAAAAAAAAAGAAAAACAGAAAAAATACAAGAAATCCAGTAGATATCTTCAGATAAACTAAGAGTGCGATAAACGAGGACAGTCAGAAAGGTATATGCAGATATATATATATATATATATATATATATATATAT